GAGAAAAAATTATCCCACGCCAAGGTTCAAAATATGCCTTTTGAATTACCCCAGGGTGTATTCTTTAATAAATAGTATGTGTTTGTGGGGAAGTTTCAATAACCAACCGTCTAAACTACTCCAAATTGGAACATGGACACAGCGTAAAACTTCAAAGTTAGAAAAAAACTGAATGGCTGCGTCTCAAATGCGCCCCTTCAACATCCACATATACCTGGCAAAGGTACATACGGGGGTATTGCTGTACTCAGCCGACATAGCTGAGCAACATATGAAGTATTATACAGTCATAGTACACATAAGGTTTGCAAAATATGCTGCGCAAACTCACTTTGTATGTCAAAAAGGCAGAAAAAATGCTTATTACCACTACACTTGGTACAAGCTAGCGGAAAAATGATCCCACGCTAAGGTTCAAAATATGCCTTTTGAAATACCCTGGGATGTCTTCTTTAAGAAATGGTATGGCTTTATGGGGAATTTGGATTATATAGCCTGGTAAAATACTCTAAAATGGGACATAGGCACAGCATAAAAATTCAAAGTTTGAAAAAAACTGGAATGGCTGTGTCCCAAATGTGCCCCTCCGATGTCCACACATACCTGGCAAAGGTACATACGGGGGTATTGCTGTACTCAGCCGACATAGCTGAGCAACATATGAAGTATTATACAGTCGTAGCACACATAAGGTTTGCAAAATATACTGTGCAAACTCACTTTGTATGTCAAAAAGGCAGAAAAAATGCTTATTACCACTACACTTGGTACAAGCTAGCGGAAAAATGATCCCACGCTGAGGTTCAAAATATGCCTTTTTGAAATACCCTGGGATGTCTTCTTTAAGAAATGGTATGGCTTTATGGGGAATTTGGATTATATAGCCTGGTAAAATACTCTAAAATGGGACATAGGCACAGCATAAAAATTCAAAGTTTGAAAAAAACTGGAATGGCTGTGTCCCAAATGTGCCCCTCCGATGTCCACACATACCTGGCAAAGGTACATACGGGGGTATTGCTGTACTCAGCCGACATAGCTGAGCAACATATGAAGTATTATACAGTCGTAGCACACATAAGGTTTGCAAAATATACTGTGCAAACTCACTTTGTATGTCAAAAAGGCAGAAAAAACGCTTATTACCACTACATCTGGTACAAGCTAGCGGAAAAATGATCCCACGCTAAGGTTCAAACTATACCTTTTGAAACACCCTGGGGTGTCTACTTTAAGAAATGGTAGGCCTTTGTGGGGTAGTTTGAATTTAAAACCTGCGAAGATGCTTGGAAATTGCACATAGGCCCAGCGTCAAAATTCAAAGTTTGGTAAAAACGGATATGGCTTGGTCTCCTATATGGCACTGTAGCTTCACAAAATAGTGACAAAGACATTCATTGGGGGTGTATTTTTACTCAAAAGACTTAGCTGAGCATAATTTGGGAGGTTTGAACTTAGTGGCACATATGAAATATACAAAACGCCCAGCAAAAATGCAATCCGTATGTAAAAAATGCACAAAATAATTTTTTTACCACATACTTTGGCATATATTGGTGAAAAAATGGGGGTATGTTAAGGCACAATATGCACCTTATGAGATACCCTGGAGTGTCTACTTTTACAAATGGTAGGCCTTTGTGGGGTTTTTTGAACAGTCAAACTGTTATAATACCCCAAATGGAAGCTAAGGCTCATTAAATCCATCTCTCAAAATTCTACTGTGAATACTGTAAAGGACAGGTCTCCTATATGGCACTGTAGCTTTACGAAATAGTGCCAAAGACATTCATATGAGGTGTCATTTTACTCAGAAGACTTAGCTGAGCATAATTTGGGGGGTTTGAACTTAGTGGCACATATGAAATATACAAAACGCCCAGCAAAAATGCAATCCGTATGTAAAAAATGCACAAAATTATTTTTTACCACATACTTTGGCATATATTGGTGAAAAAATGGGGGCATGTTAAGGCACAATATGCACCTTATAAGATACCCTGGAGTGTCTACTTTTACAAATGGTAGGCCTTTGTGGGGTTTTTTTGAACAGTCAAACTGTTATAATACCCCAAATGGAAGCTAAGGCTCATTAAATCCATCTCTCAAAATTCTACTGTGAATACTGAAAAGGACAGGTATCCTGTATGGCACTGTAACTTCACGAAATAGTGCAAAAGACATACAATGGGGGTGTCATTTTACTCAGCAGATGTAACTGAACACAAAATAAAACTTTGTACAGGAATAGCACACACCAACTTTACAAAATATACACGAGAATTTCTCTGTTATAAGTTTGTGTGCCAAAAACCAAAAAGAACACAATTTTACTCCAATATTTAGCAGAGGTTGGCGGTGAAATGGCTACGTAGAAAGTGTCAAAACAACCTTAGGTAAATAGCCCGTGATGTCTACTTTATATAAATATATACTTTTGTGTGGCAATTTTGTTTTCTTTTATGGCTATTAAGCTTACAAGACAAACATACCAAATTCTAAAATCGCTCCACATTAAAAGTTTATTTTACTCCTTGTGCTTTGTGACCTGTAACTACCAAAAAAAACTTAAAATCCCAGACACATTATATATTCTGTAAATCAGAACAAATAAATAAATTTATTTTTAATTACTTTCCTTAACCTGCACTAATTATGCACACATTATTATTGCAAAAACTGTAAAAAAAACAATATTTTTCATTTTTTTTGCATTTTTCTGTATTTTTTTTATAATAAGTAAGCATTTATATATATATATATTATGTTATATCAAATTAAAGCCCTTTCTGTCCTTTAAAAAACAGTATATAATATGTGTCGGTGCAATAAATGAGAGAGATGCAAATTGCAGTTGAACGCAAACAGCAAGAAAATGCAAAAATTGCTTGTGTCATTAAGCGTAAGTCAAGCTTCTGAAGCTGTGTCCTTAAGCGGTTAAAGGTTGAATGCATTATGAAAATAAGAGAGAAAAAAAGGTTAAATAGAAGGATAAATAATTCATCCTATTACAGATTTTTGATTTCACAATAACTCTAACTGGTTTAGGCTATATGAACCATTCTAATGTTGGTAATTTTCGGCTTGAGAAAATTTATTTTATTTATTTATTCATTTATTTATTTTTTTGGGCTCTGAATGGGGGCATTAAGTTTTCCCCACAAGGCTGAGTAATTAAGAATTGGTGTTGGCCTTACCGATTCGATAACAACCTCACTGCTGCTAATCTGCTAAATAGTACATTTGCGGCCTGCTGTGCACTTCATATCTGAGAGTCAAATAGAAGCATCAAATAGTGCGCTTACTGCGCAGTGGTAAACATTCTAATTGTTTTGCTGCTAATCTGCTAAATAGTACATTTTGGGGCGTGCACTTCATACCTGAGCGTAAAATAGAAGCATCTAATAGTGTGCTTACAGCGCAGTGGTAAACATTCTAATTGTTTTGCTGCTAATCTGCTAAATAGCACATTTTGGGGCCTGCTCTTCATATCTGAGAGTCAAATCGAAGCGTAACTTTGATTCGAATTTACTACATCGGTCACTTGTAATATTGTTCCACACCTACAACACTTGTTACACAGATCTAAGTGATAGAAAACAGATTGATATTTTCTACACTAGAAACTACCAGATAACAAGCTGCTATATTTAAACCAGTGATCAATAGCTAAGAGGTACTTAAACAATATTGTAATTCTGGGGCAATACCCTCACATGTCAAACTGAGAGGTCAGTTTATAGGGAAAACTGTTGCCTGGATACAATTCTAAAACAATTTCCATATGTCCTTTGCAGACTTTACATGCTGGAAAAACACAGGTGCCAACTGCTGTGGTTTTCTGCAGTGTGCATACCGGCAAGGAGGGCAGGGTTGAGGAGTGGGTGGAAGATGATGTGGAGGATGATGAGGTCCTAGACCCCACATGGAATCAAGGTCATGCGAGTGACGTGTGCAGTTTGGAGGAAGAGGCGCTGGTCGCACAGAGGCACCAGCACAGCATAAGAAGGAGCAGGGTGCAAAAGCGGGCCCGGCTGTTACATAGTTACATAGTTACATTGTTACATAGTTACATAGCTGAAAAGAGACTTGCGTCCATCAAGTTCAGCCTACCTCACATTTGTTTTTTGCTGTTGATCCAAAAGAAGGCAAAAAAACCCAGTTTGAAGCACAATTTTGCAACAAGCTAGGAAAAAAATTCCTTCTTGACCCAGAATGGCAGTCAGATTTATCCTTGGATCAAGCAGTTATTACCCTACATTGAAAGATTATATCCTTGAATATTCTGTTCTTGCAAGTATGCATCTAGTAGCCGTTTGAACATCTGTATGGACTCTGATAAAACCACTTCCTCAGGCAGAGAATTCCACATCCTGATTGTTCTTACTGTCCCCTAGCGCCCGTTGGCATGTATTATCTTTAGAATTCCCACAGTTATCCAAGTTACAGATGGAGTGATAAAAGGAACCATAAAAGAATTAACAAGCCATTCGCAGTTTTACAGTCAGGAGGGCAGTCCGGTGACCAGGACCAGACACTGTCTGGGCGGATGTCGGATGACCGGGATCCAGTATGCCTGATCTTGAAGTTAGGAGTCACAGTGTGGAATGGATTAGCAGGGTCTGGTGTTGTTGAGCACAAGCGTTTGTGCTGCCACATACCAGGACCCTGATGCAGCTTCAGTAAAGAGTACTGGATACCAGAAGCCATCACCAGACAGATCCGCAACTTGGAACAGGATGTGACATTCACTGTAGCGGCTGTGCACACTTTTGGCATTCTCACCCTGCTGCTGCTCGTCTCGCTGCGTAACTTCGGCCTTCCCGCTCACCGCCTCATGAGACTGTGCGAGCAGCAGCAGGCGATAGTGGAGTTTCAGCTGCAGCATGCATGGGTCAATGGCTCTGCACCAGACTTCCCTCTAATTGATCAGAGTTAAAGGATTTCAAGTGGACTTATTGTAATTATAGGGACTCTAAAGAGTCCTGTATGTTATTTGTCGTCACTACCTTCCTGCATCAGGAGTGGGTCATTTGCGCGCCTGCTGCCTTCCTTGCATGTGGTAGCCATTTCTCAAGGTCCTTGTACGGAATGGAACCCTGATTCCCCATTACCCGTGGTCACCATGGTAGGTGCAGAAACTGGCATCAAAAGTTGATATGGATGACATCCGAATGCAAATTCGCCGTCACAGGGATGTGCGATTGGCCCGAGGTTCTCTAAAATTAACAAAGTGCCTGCGCAACTATAATGTTAAGAGCTACTCAGCAGAACCAAGTTGTCTATTTTTATATGTCCCAATATTTTGGGGGCTACCAATTTAAAAAAAAAACACATATATATATATATATATATATATATATATATATATAAAAAAAACAGTGTTGGCTACCTCCTCCTCCACTGCTGCTTCCACCTACACCGCCACGGTCACCGCCTCCTCAACTTATGGGTCACTTAGTGTAAACTATGGACACAATAGCAGAGGCTTGTGAAGGCCTTTTCTCCATGCATCAGGAGTTGAGCATTTATCCATGCATCAGGACTGCAGAAATGCACTGCAGGCCGCAAATGTTTCTTTTTCTTTTATGTCCCAATATTTTGAGAACTACCCCAATTAAAATAAAAAATAGATATATATAAACAGTGTTGGCTACCTCATCCTCCTCCTCCACCGCCACGGTCACCGCCTCCTTAACCTATGGGTCACTTAGTATAAACTATGTACACAATAGCAGAGGCTTGTGAGGGCCTTTTCTCCATGCATCAGGAGTTGAGCATTTATCCATGCATCAGGACTGCAAGAAATGCACCGCAAGCCGCAAATGTTTCTTTTTTTTATATGTCCCAAATCCCAATATTTGGGGGCTACCCCAATTTAAAAAAATAAAAAATAAAAAACAGTGTTGGCTACCTCCTCCTCCTCCACCGCCGCTTCCACCTACACTGCCATGGTCACCACCTCCTCAACCTATGGGTCACTTAGTATAAACTATGTACACAATAGCAGAGGCTTGTGAAGGCCTTTTCTCCATGCATCAGGAGTTGAGCATTTATCCATGCATCAGGACTGCAGAAATGCACCACAGGCCAAAAATGTTTCTTTTTCTTTTATGTCCCAATATTTTGAGAACTACCCCAATTAAAATAAAAAATAGATATATATAAACAGTGTTGGCTACCTCATCCTCCTCCTCCATCGCCACGGTCACCGCCTCCTCAACCTATGGGTCACTTAGTATAAACTAGGTACACATTAGCAGAGGCTTGTGAAGGCCTTTTCTCCATGCATCAGGAGTTGAGCATTTCTCCATGCATCAGGACTGCAAGAAATGCACTGCAGGCCCCAAATGTTTCTTTTTTATATGTCCCAATATTTTGGGGGCTACCCCAATTAAAAAAAAAATTAAAAATAAAATAAAAAAACAAAAAACAAATAAAAAAAGTGTTGGCTACCTCATCCTTCTCCTCCACCGTCGCTTCCACCTACACCGCCACGGTCACTGCCTCCTCAACCTATGGGTAACTTAGTATAAACTATGTACACAATAGCAGAGGCTTGTGAAGGCCTTTTCTCCATGCATCAGGAGCTGAGCTCAGTTTGAACAATGAAAGAGAATACCCTGCACTCCAACCCTCTCTCAAATGGATAATTCTGGCAGCCATGCTTTAGATTTTGCTTTATGTTCTTCCAAAGCTAAAATCAAAGATTCCATCTAGTGCTATTTTATGGCTCAGTTGTATTTTTATCTTATTTTAAGTGATTTCCCTATCCACATTTGTTTGCAGGGCACTTGTCTTGCTTTTACCCCCATTTTACTTCATTTTGCAGCTCTCTAGCCCTTTCCAGGAGTTTTTTAGAGACTTCAATGGGGTTTGGGTTCGGGGTCAAGTTCAAGCCCGAACCCGGACTTTTTTTCAAAGTTCGGCCGAACCCGCCAGACCCGAACATCCAGGTGTCCGCTCAACTCTACTGACTAGCCATTCTAACAGGAACTTACAATCATAATCTCTTGTTAGATAAATTTGTATGTTTACCGGCATAGCATAAAAATACAGATCTTTGAATTCTGTGCTTTCATACCTGGGTTTCCTTTGGGCCACGGAATATGCATTTTTAAGAATTATCAAAAATTATCTGCGGCTTTGATCTGTACCGCACTTTAAGTTATAAATCGCTTTCTTAGCAGAAGTAATGGATTTATGCTCCATGATTATCTCTTTGATTTCATCTTTGACCAGAACATTAGCTGTATAGCTTGAAGACTCTCCAGATAGATATGGCACATTGAATCAAAGGTCCATGTAATGTTTCATTTCTTATGGATGTCATCATACATGCCCAATGAATTCATGGCATAATTTTCTAGGTATGTTTCCTGAACTTCTAGAAAATTGTGGGACTGTCTCTTTAAGGAATCTGATTATTTTAGGAGTTTAATAGACAGAAGTAATTGATTTAATGCTCTTGTTTCTAGTTTCTCTGCTTTTAGGTAAACATCTGTGCGATCTAGCTGCTGAATAGGTATTAGATCTGTATAACAGTGCAGATGGCATAGCAGTCACATGGCCTTCCGAGTAGACAGTGCAATCACTTTCACTTCAATCACTCTGAGCTTCTCGTTCACTGTCACAATTCTGATCAGCATCAGAGTTCTCACAGTGTACAGGTCCATGTCTGCTTTCACTCCTATCATCCTGAAGTGGATTCCTTTCCTCAAGCTTGGCCAAGAGAGTCTTTTCAAACTGTTCTGCCCAAGATGTGTTCCACAGGTGTTTTCTCAGATTTGCTCATATTTTTCCTTTCCTTTTTGTTTTGGGAAAATCTGGTCTGGTGTG